CTGTAGGAAAAGACAAATATTAAATCATCACTAACATTCAACCAGAGGAATGTTATTGCAGTCTTCACTGTGTTTAATAAAGTTTACTGAGTGTATCTCAAAGTGCCAATTATTTAAAAACCGACTAACTTCTAATGAGAGAGAGAGAGAGGCATTCTGGTATAAATAGTTCTAAGTGAAAGAAAGGTCAGAGTTAGGGAATATTTTTCTAATTTACCTCAAATTGAAACTAACTGGTCTGTGTGGGTCACTAGTACTGTGGGTTACTCATGTTGGCTCCCAAGCCAAATCCTGGAGCAAGGATTGACAATAGACTTGGCTTGTGTCAGTAGATGTCACTGCAGGCAGATACTACCATCACATTAAAGCTCATGGAGCCCTAGAGGAAAAATGTCATGGGGTGAGGATGAGGGGGAGGAGGAAGATGGAGGGGAAAATACGATAGCCCAAATCAATTTAGAATAAGGAAAAAAAGGCTCTTCCTAACTGGCTAGTAAGTAAGTAAACAAATAAATTTTAAACGTACGGTCTGTATATACTTCAGTAGGAATGTTTTAATTTATTTAGTCCTAGAAGGTCAAACAAAATATGAAATATCAAGCATAAATAATTACAAGACAAAATACTGACACTACTTGTAAGCTTCTAGTCAGTCAAATTTGGAGGGAGTGGTTCATTTAGATAGGAAAAAACTGGTAGGGAACAAGTACCCTAAAAACAGAAGCCCATCCCTGGGTGAGGTATAACTTCACTAAGACTGTTAATTGCAATAGCAAGTATCACAAATACTACTCACTATGCTCAGGCACCAGAACAAAACAGGCCAATTCCAAGCAGCTCATCTAACAAATGGGACCCAAGTTTCCAACTATGGAACATGGGAATTACCACAAGGAGTTTGGTCGCATTCCCATTTCCTCATGAGAATCTCAAAGGAGAACACACAGCCAAAAAATATGGCAGAACTTCATACTGACAAGAAATCCAAAAGAAAAGCCAAGCCTCAAGCTAAGCCATGGAAAAGCTTCCCCATGGTAGGACAGGCTGAGAAGAGGCCTTAAACCTCTTTGGGACCTAGTTTGGACCCAACCAGGTGGCTGGCTTTCCACAGGGGCTGGGGGCCGATCTCAAAACCAAGGACCCAATTTGCTTCCCTAATACAAAGACATCTCCACACCCCTCCTCTCCATACGGCTTGCTGTTTAATCCTTGACATTCCATTTGTTAAAAAGCAAAAGCCGACGCTGGACTAGCCAGCACGATCATCCATTTTAACTTGGTCAAGTTCTTGCTATTGAACAGCAGGCCTGAGAACTGTCAAGTTAATTTTACTGAACACTCTGTTACTGAATCATGCCTGAGCTCCAGCCATTCTTTACCTCAGAAGCTGGACCCCATCCCAGAACAATCTTTAAAAGTTTATTTTACTGATCAAAGCAAAATAAGAAATAGCTCTTTTTAAAAAAACTATATTTAAGGAGCGATGCAGTAAGTGATACTTTGGCAAGAGCACTGAAATGTAAAGTGCCTTGTGCATTTATAAACTTAGGGGTATTTGCTCTGGCGCTAGGCCAGCGTGTGTTTGGAACAAACGCCAATCATCCACATTCAGGCTTGTCTTGCCCTGCTCTCTCCTCAGAAGTCAGTACGCGCTCCATCTGTGACAATATGTTGGGCGATGGGTGAATGGGGCCTAAAAGGGAACACAAGTTCTCGGGTACGCACAAACTAGTACTGGGCTAGATCTCACGAACTCCCATCTACCTGGGTTCCACCTGAACTATTTTAGATTTGAGTCTGCTTATAAATTGTTTACATTCTCTTCTAATCTGCTGGCTGACAGCATTATTTCAAACCAATACGTTTATCTTTTTTAGCAAAGGCAGACTAGAAGCTCAAAAGGAAGCCTTGCGTTTGGACTAACTTCCATAAATTAAAAGTGTCCTTTTAAAAGATTTTTGAACAGAGGAAAATCCCTAGTCTGTATTTTTCTGTCATTTTACCAAAACGTACCTGGGTGACAAGGTTAAAGCAAGCAGAGGAAATCCCTGGCACTTATCATCCACAGGCATTACTGATAAATTGTGTGGTGGAGGAATAAAGGATTACCTTCTGTATTTTTTCATTACACTTTTCTTTTGTTACAGAATACATAAATCCATTGTGGCACAATGTAATATGTATCACCATGCTACACCTGCGGACGCTTCCGAGCGGCTGCCATGTCTGTGCAGTCAGGAATGATAAGTGAACCACCCGTGAATGTTAACGATAGTGATCATTCTGAGGTAACTCGGCTCTCCATCTTCCTTTACAGCCTCCGTGCTGAAGCCAGGGTAGCAAGGTTCAGGAGAGGAAAATGAAAACAACAGTGAAGGGAAGGGGCACGCACGGCGCTCAGAACGTGCCTTCACGAGTGTGCGGTATCTTACTCTGGGGCTCCATTTCAGTAAAATCGTGCACATTAAAAGGAGAAGGAGGTTGTGACCCACGTACTGCACACTCAACCAGACCTAATGAAAGCTTCCTTAGGTCAATCTCCCACTCCACTCGCTTCTCTCCCTCCAGACAAACACCAACTTTGGATCTTGCTCCAAGTCTACAGCACTTACGGGTGCACAGAATCGAAGTGGTTCCCAGAAGACATCTAGGTGCAACTGTTAAGTTATGCTCCCATTTAATAAATGGATATGGAGACTTGCTCCCACAATTTTCAGCTTGATTTCCAAACATTCTGGGTTTTATGCCTCATTTCTTTATATCCAGGAATTTTTACGGGCTTTCTAAAAAGTCTATTGAAATACATCTTTCAGAGCTGCTTTTTATTTAGTGCTGGGCACTGGGTGTGCGACCGAGGAGACACTGATCTCGGGGGAAATGCCGGCAGCAGGTAGGTAGGGCACTCGCTAGTCCTGCCTCCCTTTGGTGCAGCCCTGCATTCCAGTCTCTGAGGTGTGGCCTGTGCTGAGGGTGATTAGCCCTCAGACAGACAGGCCGATGGAGAGACAGATGGACTACAAACCCAGGGTCTCGGCTCAGAAACTGCTCGTCCTCCTGCTCCCCTCATGGACAGACAGCTTGTCTCCCACCACAGCAGGGCACTCGGGGGGCCCTGAGCAAAGCAGCTGCCCTCCACAGCTCCTTGCGCTGCCTGTGCTGGGTCTAGGATGCAGCGCCACTTCAGAGCTGACTAAATGCCGCCCGGAGTGCTTCAGTCAATTCAAAGTTAGGTCCTGTCAAGTCTCGTAACCACTGAAAAACGTATGGGCATTTTAAAAAGAGATTACTCACTTGAGGAATTCTGCTCTGTCCCAGTGCAAAGCCACTCAGCTACCAGAGGGAAGTTTTTATACCCACATTAACTTAACACGATGAGCATTTCTCTGCTAAATATTAAACGAGAGGTGATGGGGCACAGGTCCTTATCTGAAAAGCTTAGAGTCTATTTATAGGGACAGCGCTGGAAGCAGAACCCAAGTTGGGAGGCAACATACTGGAGAGGAAAACACATGGACTGCGAGTTAAATACGCTTTGGTTCACATTCTGGTTCCATGGCTAACCAAAATGTTGCCTTAACATGTGGGAACCTCAGCTACATCCATGAAATAAGGAGGCCGCTTCCCTACAGAACTGTCAGAGAGGACACAATAGACAACGAATGCCAAGCACCTGGTGTTAAGGTTGACAAACAGTAAAAGGAGCTTAGAAATGTTAGTGCTCTTGGGTTCCCCTTGTCCTAAGTCATCACTCCAAGAGAAGAGGCCCCATTCACCCCCTCTCCCCTACCCCGTCAGCAGACATTGCTTAGTTGGGGGAATGGATCCCAGCCATTGCTTATAATTGGTAACACAGGGCCATTAAAATGTGCAATCTGCTGGACATGGTAGCAACAGTCAGGGGCACTACAAGCAAGCAACTTCTGGCGAAGGCATCAAGCCTCCTCTGAAGCTCATAGAAGAGCACTTAGGGCTCCATGTTCAAGGCTTTCATTTTTGAGAGAGTAAGCCAGAGAAGTGGGTATACTGCACCTCAGCTTAACTCACTGGCTTTGGATGGGGATGAGGGAAGTCAAAAATCATGGTAGTGGTGCAGAGAAATTCAATGAGACTTATTAAGAGCTTTCTGAGCTGCACAGTACAAGTTATTATTCAACAATTACAACAGTAATAATAGCAACTACTATCCACTGAACGTTTACTATGTGCCAGGTGCTATGTTAAGCTTTTAAAATCTGTATTAACTCATTCAATCCTAAAATAGGTGCTATTATTATATCCATTTTACAGAATCCGAGGCTGGAGGCATTAGGGAATTTATCTGAAGTCACTCTATTAAAGATCTATTAAAGATCTCAATTTTGAATTCAGAAATCAACAATATGGTCCCTAAGCCAAGCAGCACAGTCCAGTGGGAGAGAAAGACAAAGAAGCAAACAAAGAATTATAGTGCTATGCGGTAAGTACAAAGATGGAAGCAAGCTCTGAGTGCTACCAAACACAGAGGCACTTAGCCGAGCCGGGGAAGGGCAAGGGGATCAGAGAGCTTCTTAATGGAGAAGTCTCAAAACACAGTGATCATTTAGCTCTATATCATGCTAAGAAAGATGGTGGTGACCAGAAGGCAGCAAAGCACAGCAAGCTCTACAGTAGAACCTGCTGTGGAGTCCCAGCTCTACCTTCCTGGGATAAATGATACAATCATTTCTCTCTCTCTCTAGCTTCCAGTTTCCTCATCTACAAAATGGGGATAATTCTTAGAGTAGAAGATTATTGTGAGGGCTAAATATTTGTAGTTAACATAATACCTGTTATATAATAAATGCTTAATATAATAACCATGGCTTTTCTACGTACAAGGAAGTGATAAAAGATATGATGACAACTGTCAACATTTATTGAGCACTTAATCCTCCCAGAAAAGGTACGTGCTATTATCAGTCCCATTTTATGATGGAGGAAATTGAGGTTGGGCAAGGTTAGGACACCTGCCTAGAGTTACG